AATAAGTTTGCCTAAAAATTTTCAAAAGGGGGGGGGGGGTTTTTTTTTTTTTTTTTTTTTTTTTGGTGACACCGTTTGTGTGCTTTCTCCTCAGCTGATCACTCCGCACGCCATTCGTGTGCAGACGCCTCCTCGACACATCCCTGGGGTCGTGGAGGTCACCCTGTCGTATAAATCGAAGCAGTTCTGCAAGGGAGCGCCTGGACGCTTCATCTACACAGGTGAACCATTTTCCTTAAAGTTAGATCCAAAGATTTAAATAATTGTTTCTAAAGCTTGACAATCTAATGATTTTTTTTTTTAGCCCTTAATGAGCCAACTATAGACTACGGTTTTCAGCGACTTCAGAAAGTAATTCCCCGGCATCCAGGTGACCCAGAGAAACTAGCCAAGGTGAGACAAAAGAGTTACCTACACTTATTTTTAAATGAGTTATGATTATTATGCTTTTGTCCTGGAGTTGTCAATTAAATTTCATATTTATTTTTTTTTTTTACAGGAGATTCTTCTAAAAAGAGCAGCAGATCTTGTTGAGGCCCTTTATGGAAATCCTCACAGTAATCAGGTACTTAGAAACAAAACTGTTTCCTACATTCAAAATTGATCGTCATCAAATAGGGCTTTGCTAATATAGAACATAAAATACTTTAAAAATTGCCCTTGAATTATAAATATTAACAAACCTCTTGAACATTTTTTTCCATTGTATTGTTGTAATCTTTCCTTACCTGAGAAGATCCCGGTCTATTGTATCCTCCCTGATTTTGCCCTTTCAATTGTGGCAATAAATTGCAGAATTTGTTAAAGTCCACAAATTAAATTTTTGGTAAGCAATCGTGAGCTCAACTTTTGCACAGAAATGAAAGAGGATTGGAGATATTATTAGCATTAACTGACAAGCAAGGGATGCAACATGGGAAACAACAATATTAGTTTTAACTAGGTTAACAAGATATATTGGCATGGAAGAATTAGTAACCATTTATCAGACATTATCCACACGCCTGATGAGTTTTTCTTGCTTTTTGCTGGCTGTGTGCGACAGTGATCCACATGAGTTCATGGTCCATTTAACATTACCTCATGTTAACCTTGTATTAAACAGTTATAACTGTTTCTTTAGTCCAGACCCGTAAAACTTGATGGGTTGACAGAGTGTCACTTAAAGATTCTCAGTGTCACAGATTAATTAGTTCACTCCTGTTTACTACCAGAAATAGCAGCACCAGCACATATCAGCCAATTGTCTTCATATTTCCTGAAACTGACCTGTTTGTTTGTCACTTTGTTCGACTTGCTGCAGGACATGCTGCTGAAACGCGCAGCTGACATTGCCGAGGCGCTCTACAGCGTTCCCCGTCCTCACAGCCAGCTGCAGGCGCTGCCCAGCTCACCAGCCCATGGGAGCGTCATGGGCCTGGGCTCCTATCCATCCCAGCTGGGGGTTAGCATTGGAGATCCAGGACAGAGCAGCCAAGGTTAACAAACTGAGCAAGCCAGTCTTTTCTTCTGTCTTTCTGGCCAGTGAAGCTTATGACCCTACTCTGATGTTTCCTCCAGGTTATATCCGTAACTCCAGCAGTTTGTCTCCGAGGGGTTACCCCTCAGCCTCCACTCCCCAGCAGTCGAGCTACGGAGGCAGCGGCGGGATGACTGGAGGCTACGGGACAGTTCCCATGACAAGTCTGGGAGTTCCTGGATCTCCTGGATTCAGCAGCGCCTCACCCACCAGCTCTCCCTACAGTAAGACCTTACTGCCTGCCTGGAACTCACAACACTGATTCTGACTCGGTTAAAGGCTTAACACCGTTTGTTTCTCTCTGTTCCTCAGTAATGCCAGCGAGCCCCACAATACCAGGAAGCTCCAGCTCCTCGTCATCTCTCTTGCCTTTCTCCTCTTTCCCTTCTGCTGCTAAACAGAAGAGTGCTTTTGCTCCCGTCCTCAGGCCCCAAGGTTCTCCTTCCCCCGCCTGTCCCGCCTCAGGGGGGAACAGCTTCAGAGGTAGTCATCCAACTCACTATCTGACCCCGCTGTCTGAACTCACCAATGCAGTCTAACCCTATACTAACCAACTCAAAAGCTATGACTCAACACGACTTGGGTGATGTACAGTAATGAAACGCCTGACTGATTTAGAATCATAGATTTTGTATATTTTTTTCTCTCCAGCGATGACGGGCCTGGTTGTTCCCCCGATGTAGCAAAGCACCTGCCCCCAATCTGCCCCAGACCACTGCTTCACTTACCTCCCCTTCTTTGTTGGCACTGAGCAGGGAGACCGAAAAAAACAAACAAAAAAAAAAACTGATCACTAGTGAGCGTAACTTTTCCTCCCTCTCTCAGCCCCCTTTTTTGTGACCAGTCAGCAGAACGGGTGGGGTATGAAAATGTCCAAAGACCAGCAATCTTCTCCAGATGCACAGGATAACACATCAGCCTCAGCTGCAAACAGCAAGACTGGACAGTTTACTGCTGTATGTGTGTCTGCCAGGAAACCTCCGTTTAATTTCGCCTGATGCTTCTGAAAGGATCTGTCCGAACCTCTGATCCACCACCACATACAGCATCTAGTTTTTGCAAAGCCTGCAAAAGACTTACAGGATGCACTGCCGGATCGCTGCGCGTCAACGGATGCCGGACAGCTCAGATAAGAAGCCGCAGCTCTCAAATGTGGGGTGCTTACTTTGTGTGTGTATAGACACCCTAAATGGCATGTGCATATACTGTCTGTGAGCTAGAGAGAGGTTGTTTTGTAGTAGACTTTTAAAGACAACTTACATTCCAGAAAAGTAGAACCCTTATGTTTTGTTTTGATTGTTTTTTTCAAGGGAGAAATCTTTGTCTCATGGGTTATTACTAAAATGAATTCATATATTGATTTATTTAAGAACAAGCAATTTAACTTATTAAAGTTAGTTTAGGGAATAATATAAACGTGTTTTTATAAACTGGTTCTCTTTCCAACTGTTGATGAAATTAAGCGAGCTCTCCAATTGCCAATTACTTTGATAAATGACACTCTGTAATGGATTTTTTTTAGTGGAGTTTTGTTTTTTGTTTTTTAATTAAACTTCCCTACTTTTCAGGTTCTTGCAAAAGCAATTATATGTGTTTTGCCCGCAGTTAAAGGTTATTGTCCTTGTGTAAAAGGAAATATTAGTTAGCCGTATCCTTTTTATTTCCACTTAAAGTGCATGCTTTGTTACACCAATGCTCTGGTACTTTTTCACCCTGAATAGTTTGTGAATTTTCATTTCCAATGTTTAGTCACTATGCAGTATAGGAAGCAAAAGCACAACAGCTCGAACAAAAGGAAGAAGGTGTATTAGGTGGTCATTTATTATCATCTTCTTACAGCGACAGTTCCTTGTAAAGGTATTCATACCTGTTGAGTTTTTTTCCACATTTTGTCAGGTTGCAGCACAAAACTGTACTTAATTGGGATTTAAGAGCATAGACCATTACAAAGTAGCGAAAAAAAACAATTACGTTGCTTTTGATTTTCTGCAGTTTTTACAAATGAAAGTATAATAAGGGTGAAGGGCATTTACCAAATAATCTGGGGCATGTTTGCAGTCTGACTGTTTTTTCTTCTGGTTTTGTCTCTTATTTAGCTCAATTCACCTTCACATCCATCTGCCTGTAAAAACCACATGATGCTGCCACTCCCAGTTTCACAGTGAAGATGGTATTTTCAGGGTGATTTGCTGTGTTAGTTTTCTATTAGACATAGTTTTTGTTGATCAAAAAGAGCAAAGTTTGACCTAACCTTATCAGAGTAACTTCTTTGACTCTCCACATGAAGTTATGACAAACTGTAAAAATGAGTTGCTTTTACTTTCTTCTTGTCCATAAGAGCCAGATTTGCAACAGATTCTCACACCTTCACAAAGGGTCTCTGATGTTCTTCCAGCACAGGCTTCTTGGCTGGTTTTCTGATTAATGGTTTCCTTTTCCAGGCTGTAGTTGTAGGTGGGTTGACATGTCTTGATAGGTCTGAAGTTGTGCTATGCTCTTTTTACTTCCAGATGAAGTTTAAACTTTGCTTTGTAAGATGTTAGAGCATTGATATATTGTTTTATGACCCAATCCTTTATTAAGGTTTTCTAGAGCCTTATCCCAGATTGTCTGTTGAGTTTCTTGGTCTTCTTTCTGTTTGGTCCTGGATGTCTTCTAAAAAAAAAAAGTTCAGGTTGCAGCACTTTTAAGATGCACATTGAAGTTGCATGTGAAAACATCAAAATCATTTTCTACACTCCGCAATTTTGTGCTACTTTGTGTTGGTCTGTTGCATAAAAATTCCACCAAAAATGATTTGAGGTTGTAACGTTGGAAAATGACACAAAATTCAAGCCGTATGAATACTTTTAAAGGCATGGCATTATTCATCACAACACAAAACTCATTCTCAGGACGTGCACACATAGAACGCAAAGGGTAGCTGACGTAAGCAAATTTGTTTTTAGAGTTCAGTAATCTTATTTATTAAAAAAAAAAATGTTAGCAATTTATTTCAATGTTTTTTAAGCCATGTTTTTTTTGAAGTGATACAAAAACAATGGTGCAAACGTGATTTGTAAATTCTAAGGTGTAATTATATTTTGTGCTCCAAATAAAACAAGTAAAAGGAAAAATGAACTGAGGTGAGTTGAAGTGGTTATACATATTTCTTCATTATGTTACGCTGTGGTGTCCTGAACGTGAAGCTTTTCCTGCAAGCCTCCACATCTCAAGGTTGTGCCTGATCTATTTTTGACTGTGCCCATCACCTGTGTGCTCGTGCAGCTTGTTACACTGTTTTGTATACATAGCTGATGAGCCGCAGCATCTTAATTGTGATGCGAGCGTTAAAGACTGAGTAGAGCATGTCAAGATAAACAACATCCTCCTCCCTCCCTTCTTTCCCCCCCTCCCCCCCAACCATCTCTCTCCTCTCCAATAAGCCTGCTTCTCTCTGAGGACCAAGCCTCTGGGGGCCGGAGTGAGAACCACATGAGTCTCCTTCCAACGCGGCCTCTTCCTCTCTCTGTTAAAGAAAAAAAAAAAAAAAACACTCACACACAGAGGCTCACCGCTGCCTTGCTTTCTTCAGTCTTTGTTTGGTGCTGCTTCATCCCGTCTTTCTTCCTCTTGCCTCTTATCCTCTCTTGCAATGGTCCTTCTCTGTTAATGTAATTAGCACTGCTAAAGAAGGGCAGTTAATTACCCACTCTATTTTGATCGGGTAATTAATGTTATGCCAGGAAACAGCAACTGTTTCATTAACACAACCCTCAAAGCAGTGAGGGGGGTAGGGTAAGCACCCATTGGTGGCAAGTCTGCGTGTGCCGTGGCGTTTTTGCAGCGACAATGAGGGGACGTGTGGACTTCAAACACCAGACACTGCCCGCCATTTAACCCCTCAACCACTCGCCCGCCATGTCTTCCTCCTCATCTCCCCTTCTTCCCTTTGATATGTTATTAATTTGACAAGTTAAAGTCAGCTCCGTTGCCAGTACCTCAGCATTCATCTTGCTGAGTGCTCCTTCTGCCCAGCGGTGCAGGAGCCATATGCTCCTCTTCCACGTGACGCTTTGGTTGTGAGCGCTGCGGCGCCGTTTACCGTTTTTCCCTGATCACAGTTTGGATAAAGACAGCATGAGATGCCACCTGCCACCGAGTCATTCCACATCACACGTCCACATCACCGCCATCCAGCTGTTGGGTAGACGAAAGCCGTGCCGTGTCATCCTTCATTACCGGGACAGCTAAGATATGATGAGTTTCTTGTTTAACTTCACGCGCCGTGTTTCTTGCTATAGAGGAAGCAGAAAGCACACCCTTCCCTTTCTGCCCTCTCAAGGGATGTGTTTGTGTTTATATACCCAATTAGCCCTCTGGCCACAGCATGGCCATGCATTAGGCTGACATTAGCCCCGGGTGGGTGTGACGTCTGTGTGCATGTGTGCAAAATACAGTGAGCCCCTTTCTCATTTGAGGCATAATCAGGGGTGTGCGTGCCTTATTAGGCAGCCTGGGGTAGATCTTGACGGGGGTGGCCTACTGTTTTGTCAAATAGATTGGTAGATTGGCTTCCAAACACCCAGCCAGTGTCCTTTGCCTTTGGCCCATCAGTGAAACCAGCATTGTTGCCCATTAGAGCGATGGACCCTGATTCTTTTTTTTTTTTTCTTTCCAAAATGAATTCCCCACCCCTCTCTCTGCCATTCCCTTGGGTGTCACTAGAGTGGGGTGGCAGATGGAGGAGACACAGAGCTGCCCCCAGAGACCGAACCCCCAAACCAAAAACACACACACACGCACACACACGCATTCACAAATAGGTGCACACACTAAAACATTTATGTATACAAATGCATGAGCACCACATATGCACTAATACACACACAGTAAAGCAACACAGAGATCCCCAGACAGAAACCTCATCTGTCAGCCTGCTGCTTTTGTCCGGTCCACAGGAGTGTGTTCAGTGAACGCAGAGTGACGTCTCTGTACAATGCCTCCATGCCCCGAGTTCCTGGGTTTGTGATTGGGGTCAGACAGAAAAAAAGAGCTTCATAACGCTGCTAACTAAAGCTACAATCTAGATCCAACTGCTGCAGGTTGTGACAGTTTGAAAACAATGCATTATTAATCTATAGATATTTATTCCTTTTATTTAGATTGATATGTTTGAAATGGACACCTAAATTTGCCATATTTTTTGGTATTTGTTGCAATAAAAGTCACCGGTTCTGTCAGAGAATCACAAATGAAACAAAGTATTAATCTTCAATTGCATCTTTAAATATTTTTATATTTATTGACGAAACTAAACTGGAAGAAATGTTTCAAAAACCGTCCAGCTTTTGTCAGGGTTTCCAGACATCCTCAGTTTGCTTATCATAACAATAAATCACCATTCTTATTGCAATAATGTTTACCCTAAGCAGCATGCAATAATTGCTGCAATTGATAATGCATCAAATGCATTATCATTTGCTTTGAGAAGTTTTATGCTCTTTTAAATAGATTCCTCACTGGAGGTGTGCCCACGTCCAGTCATTAATAGCTGCTGCCCTGCAACTTTTAGATGCACATCTTCTCAAACACACCTGAAAAATATATAGTAATACTACAATGCAGTGTTATTATGCATGCTTAAAAACCAAGGAGTGCACTAATGCAAATTAGTGCAAAATTGACTAAAGGGTGAGTATTATGTAACCTCAACATTTTTGAGCTTTACATTGTGCTATGTTGTTATTCCTCCTTCAAAAACACCCTGTTTTTGACACCCAGTGTTGCTTTGATTCGTTCATCCATGTTTGAACAACACTTGAATCTGCTGTGGAAGCCATACAAGGTTGCCTAAAGCTTGCTCATAGAAAGTACTGCCCATTTACCCAAAGCTGCACCTTAGAGCTGCAGAGCAGTCCTTCACTTTACCTTCCCTACTCAGACTAGCGGCGTCTGCTGAGCTTTATATACAAGCTACCTCTCAGTTCAACATTCCTAATGGTTGTAAATAGTATCACGGAGGAGCACTGTTGTTGTCATGATATGCTGAAGGGAAAGGAGCATCTAAAAGAGGTAAGCCAATGTCAAGGCTTAGCTGCTGTTAGCTTAGAAGACGGGGCATTTTGTAAAGTTTTTGGGTTGTTTTATGTAACTTGGTGTCACAAAAGGGAAGAAAAAAGTACCCTTAAAAGAGAACAGCTCACCCTTCTGGACCGTCTGTCTATGACTGGACTTCTCATTGTGGGGAAGAACTTGAACAGATCAACTGTTCCAAATGGCTTTAGCTCTATTTGGAACAGTTATAAGCATAAAATCATACAGAAATACCATAAAAATACACACAAAAACACTTAATTTAATTATCCTACTTAGTTTTGCCTAGAGACCTTTTACTTGAAAAGAGTTGAGCTTAGCTGTTTGGCTGGTTAAGATTACCTAGAAGTACTAGAAGAAGTACATGTACATAGAAATACATTTTGTTTTAAAAGTTGCTCAAGTATATGTAACTAGTTACTTGTATAGTAAAGAATGAAGGCTAGAAGAACCACTGACTCTTGAAAAATGTTAAAATATGTGATATCACTGTGTTTTAGAGGGTGACCACACTGAATAAGCAAGTAATTGATACTCAAATACTGCTTTGACTGTCATATTTTACCAACTCAGGCCCAACCAAATGTAATTAATAAATTTGTGCTAAATTATGGCTTTTTAAACATAATTTATGATACTTAACCAGCATATCCTTTGAAAGCAAGGGACCGGAAAGAGTTGCTAAAATTTCTTATTCTTGCGGCCGGCTCTGACCCTCAAACACACAAACTAAAGCCTTTTGTGGAAGACATTGTTACAAGGTAAGTCCGTTTTTTAAATAATTGTGATTTAATTGAGCCTCATTAGAAATACAGAAATACAAGTACCTGGGCTAGCAGATCGGTTTGATGCCAGCAAGGTCCTTTATAACAACCTTTTTTTCTCCTCTGGCGACCATACTGACAATTAGCCAGATTAGAGGAGTGGAGATGTAATTTGGGCCAAACGTAAGTATCGGCTGTTTGTGCGCGCGGCTGCGTGAGGTGAGAAGGCCTCGCGCTGGTGATTAATTACAGCCAGGCCGCGTGACAGAGGTTGAGGCTCTCCCAGTGCTGTCTGCAGCCCGCATGAAGGCAAATCCAGCCTGGGCTAATTGACCCGGCTTCTGTAAGGCCATCCATCAAGCGTGGCCCAAGCGGACCCGTAAGAAACACATTATTCAGAGGTAAGTTTGTTAACCAACTAACGCTGCACCATTCATTACTGCCATTAGCTCCTACCTTCATGGTTGTCTCTGGAAAGTGCTCGACGCTTCGCTAAAATGTTGCCAATACTATATTTGAGTTTTAAAATAGAGGCGTTTCCGGCTTGAAAAGTAAAATATTTTCAGCGGAGGAACTTTTTACATTTTGTCAAGTTATAACAACGTTTTTCAGTGACGTTTAAGTGATAGACCAACACGAAGTAGTGCACAATTGTGCATTGGGGTTAAATTGATACTTGGATACAAGATTTTTTTTTTTTTAAAGCATATACAAATCACTTCCCATGACTAGATACTTTGGATAACCACCTCTTCCTGCTATTACAGTTGAAATATTTTGGGGTATGTCTGCAGGCTCTGCACATCTAAAGACAAACTTTTTCCCATTCTTTTAAAATATTTCAAGCAGTCAGACTACATTGAGAGTTCTTGTGAACATTACGTTTTCTAGCCTTGTAACAGATATTAAATTGGATTTAGGTTTGCACTTTGACTGGACCAGAGATGCTCGACTCTATATTTCTCAATGATGTTCTGCATGTTTTAGGGGTATTCCTGCTCCAACACAGCTGTTTCATAAGGCTGAATCAGCCCCTCAGTGTGTCGTCACGTTCTGCAGCAGCTCCAGCAAGACGCCCTTTCATTAGAACCACGTGTGTCAAACCAGGGAAGCAACTAAAAGGTACAGCAAAGTGCTCCTTCAGAATTCACTTTGGACAGTGCAGATCTGACTTTATGTTCAAAGTCAATGTCCTACTCAAAAGTGAATCCTCACCTTTTTCATATTTAAGAGTTTCCTTCAGGATTACCCTGAATTTAGCTCCATCCATTTGTCTT